TCTACTGTCTTAAACCCACAAAGAGAATATGCTCTTTTATTCTTTCTTTTTTTTTCTTTTCCTTTCGACTGTATTTAGCCAGTCACGTTAATGATTCGATTGCCACATCGGGAAATTTTTGTTTTTGTTTGAACAACTATCAATTAACGTCTTTTAGACCACCATTAACAAGGGTATCTTAAAGAGTTTTTAAGTAAGAAATGTGGCTTAGCTAAAACCCAAAACTAAGAAAAGTGGCTTAGCTAAGATCCAAAATTAACCTTAAGAACCAACCACATGTCATATTATTATTTAATACTTTTAAGAACCATTTTTAAGATACCATTGTTAATCATGCTCTTATTATATAAAAAAAAACTATCAATTGACGAACGGAAAAATAAAATAAATAAAAAAACGATTTCTAGGAAAACAAACAATGAAAGCGGTAGAACGAAAACGAAAACGAAAGCGAACCATCTATTTTGTACCACTATTTCATATCACTTCAACACTATTCCACTATTTTTCACTGATTAAGATTTATAATACTATTACTTACAAAAAAAAAAAACTGTAATCGCTTTATACTACCAATCATATCCTATATATATAAACTCATGGATTACACACATGGTGCCTATAGAAACAATAATTTAACATACATTTTTTTTTATATAAATGAATGAAATAATAAAAATAGATTTAGCAACAAAAAAAAAAGTAGTTTGATGTATTCCCAAACGAGATCATTTTGTTATCTAATAAGTATGACTTTGTTCTTGAAGTTAGGGGAAAATCGAATTGGTTTATGTTTAACTTGGTGATGAAGTTGTGAGATCAAATTAAAGGAGTTGGCGTTAATTGAGGAACGCTCCACAAAATCAGTGATGTTTATATTGTTATCTTATTTTGTAAAGATGAGTAGCGTAGACATAGGTCATGTTTCATATATATATCTCAGCTGTATCGTTTCTGTTTCTTTCACAGCCGTCCCATTTCTTTAGGTGTAGTGCAAAATAAGCTCTCCAATCTCAAATGTACGACTCTTTTGGGTGTGTAGTTGTTCTATTAACGGCCACGAGTAAACGACAGCATTTAGAAAATGGGCTGACTGACTGGGTTTTTGGGCCTGTTATGTCGATGTATGGGTTTTTCTGATTGAGGATTCCTAAGAAGTATCTTTTGGGATCTTGTTTATGATTTTTAATACACGATAAAACTTTCAATTTTGACCCCAAAAAAAAATACTGAAAAGAAGTTGTCACGTTTGTGCAAACAAAAAAGGAGTTGTCACGTTTGAAAAGATAAAAAAACTTTTTTTTGACTTAGATGATATATGTATACAAAGATAACTCATGACCAATTGTCAATTGACCATACGCTAATCAGAACCCTTCAAATTAGTCTTCTGCAAAATTTTATTAAACGTATACTGATTGCTATTTAAAAAAAAAACTAGATACTAGTATATTCAAAAAGAAAAGGTAAATAAATTTTTTGAATCAAATCATATTTAAAAGCTCTAACTGCACTTGCTAAAATACGATTATTATATATTCCCTCTGTTCCTTTAAGTTTGATGTTTTGAGTATTGCACATAAATTAAAAAAAAAACTATTTTTTACATTATTTAATTATTTGTTTGTTTGTTTTATAATTTTAGTTTCACTTCTCTCCTCTTCCTATTGGTTACAATTAAAAGTAATAATGATATTATTACAAAACATCAGTGGAACAAAAAAAAATTTCAAAATATCAAACTATTAGGAACACAGGCAGTAGAAGAAAGTGAGAATAATAAATTATTTTGGGTGAATTTGTAATATTCTAAAAAAGTAGCTACTTGTTTTGCTTTGTAACTTTGTATACATACACACCAATTGGCTACTTGTCTGTTAAATAAAAAATCTACCTTTTCAGTTATTTTGTTTCGATGCTCTCAAAAAGTCATAATCTCTTCATTTTCTTACTTGAGATTTGGGGTCTAAATGGTACCGAGGAATCTAGCTGAATCCGGCTGAATTGTGGAATCTAGCTAAATTTTTAGTGATTTTTAGCTGAATCTAGCTGAATTTTTACATTTCTAAATGGTAACAGCTGAATGTAGCTGAATTTTTTTGTGATTTTTGGTAAAATCTGTCAAAATATTTAAGACTTAAACTGAAAAATATCGTCAAATAATTATGAATCTTAATCAATATAATAACTAAGAAATATCTAAATAAAATAGATAAAATTATCTAATTGTCTAAGTAACTCTTATATTAATAAATAAATACTAAACTTATCTAAAACTAATACTAATATAAATAATATATTGGTTAGCAAAATTGAATTATTTTATCATATTTAATTTTTGAACTGTTAAAAATATATAAATAATTAATGAAATTTTTGTCAAAACATTATTGAAAAATTAATTTCAAAAATTAACATGATAATAAAATAAAGATTATCTATATTTTTTATTGTCATCTAGTAGTTTAATCAATAATATGACGAGAATGAATGAATGATTAATAGAATTATCAAAACTTTGATATTTAAAAAACTATTTTAGCATATGTATGAGTTGTTTTTGTGAATTTTAAAAATTAATTTTAGATTATCTTAAAGTTATTAAAATTATCCAAAAATATCTATAATTATTTGAACATAAATTCGTCTCTTGTCTATTCTAGTAGTGATTTTATGTGTCTGAATGATTCAATATCGTATTTGTATATGTATAGTATGACTTCTTTTAAAATATAAATTTGATTTGTAATTTCTCATATCCAAAATATTTTAATTCGAGTTGTGAATTCTTTATTATCTGAATTTTTACCAGAAATAAACATATCTACATATCTGTTAGTGTTGAAAAAATTGCTGAATCTGGCTGAATTGAGCTGAATTTAGTTTTATGCAAATGGTAACTGAGGAATTGCTGAATCTGGCTGAATTCGGCTGAATATATTTTTTATGTTACCATTTAGTGCCTTGACCTAAGGCACTGTTTTCTGTCATCTGTTAAAGTGTAAAGTCTTGTGAGATTTGTCGGTTAGTTAAATGAGTTTCTCTTTTTTGTAAGGAGTGTAAATGGTAACATAAAAAAAATATTCAGCCAGATTCAGCCAGATTCAGCAATTCCGCAGTTACCATTTGCATTAAACTAAATTCAGCCAGATTCAACAGTTTTTCTAACATCAACAGATACATAGTATTTTCATTTCAGATAAAAATTTGGATTGTAGCGATTCACAACTCGAATTAAAATATTTTTGGCTATTAAAAATTACATATCAAATTTATATTTTAAAATAAGTTAGATCATACAAATACGATATATGAATAATTCATACACATAAAATCATTACCAGAATAGACAAGAGACATATTTATGTTCAGATATCTATAGATAATTTTAGATAATTTTAATAAATTTTAGATACTTAAATATAATTTTTCCAATTTTTTGCAAAAATAACTCATACTTATGCTAAAATAATATTTAAAATATCAAATTAAAAAATTGTTAATCATCCTAATCATATTAAGGATTTAAACTACTAGAGAACAATGAAAAATCAATAAGATAATATATACTATATTATCATGTTTATTTTTAAATTAATTTTTCAATAAAACTTTGACAAAGCTTTCTATTAATTAATTATACCTTTTTAATAGTTCAAAAATTAGATTTGGAAGAACAACTCAATTTTGCTAAAAAGTTATTAATTCTAGTATTTATTTATTGGTATAAGAGTTAATTAGGCTATTAGATAATTTTATCTATTTTATTTAGATATTTTTCCTTAGTTATTCTATTAATATTCGTAATTATTTGACGATATTTCAGTTAAAGTCTTAATTATTTCGACAGATTCTGCTGAAAAGCACAAAAAAATTCAGCTAGATTCAGCGGTTACCATTTGAAAATGTAAAAATTCAGCCAAATTCAGCTAAAAATCACTAAAAATTCAGCCAGATTCATCAATTCAGCCGGATTCAGCCAGATTCCTCGGTTACCATTTAGACCCAAGGTAATTTGGTAGCAAAAATAGTAAAAATGTCATGGAGTTTATTGGAAGTTAGCAAACCACACATCCTAACAATAACCCGTAATTAACGGTCTTATGTTATCATATAATTTTGTTGACAAAGGTATAAAAGAAAATGTAATGAGATTATTTGTGCAATATTCATACTTTCACCCCCAAATCTGTTTTTGTTTATGCAAACAGTTGACTTTATGATATCTCACGATAATGAATACTCCCTCTGTTCCTAGAAGATTGATGTTCTAGAGTTTTCACATATATTAAGAAGCAATCATTGTTTAATTATTTGTCTATTACTTTTTTATATTAAATATTTTTTAATAACTTTGAACCAATAGTATTAGAAAACAGTTAATCATTACGTATTGAAGTTTACGATATATTAATTTTAATCAATAAAAAATAAAACAAAAACCTAGAAAATCAAACTTTCTGGAACAAATTAAAACTCTAGAACATCAAATATCTAGGAACAGAGGAAGTATGAGTTAGTACTTAGTAGTAGTAAAATAGTAATACTTCAGAGCTGCTCAACTAATTATTACATTAATATTTACATATTGAAGTTTTTTTAAATTAAAGTTGAATAAATGCATATATTAATATATGTAATAGTACTATTGTTTTGGGCTTACGAGAGATCTCTGCAATCAAGAACCGGTTCAATCTAGTGAGTTCCAACTTCCAAGTTATTTACATTAATTTATTTATTTAAACCAACATGATACAACGTATTTTACGTGTAATGTTAAAAAGGAATACTAGATTATTTTATTTCGAATGCTTCTAGGAAAGTCTGCATAAATCGCAATCAAATCACAAATTATTATGTTCTTTCTTTTGGAAATATATAAATTTATCATTAAAAATTTGATTATTATAATGTTCTTTCTTGTTGTTTTTTCTCTCATCCCCTTTTCTGCATCATAATCATGACATTTTTCTTGCCCCAAAAAAGAAGGAAGAACATCATCATCACATAAACAGAGGAATCTCATTATTTCAGGAGGATCAGAAAAAAAAACACACAAAAGAGTTCACGATAAGAATCATATATGTACGGAATAGTGTCACAAAGAAACACAGTTAATTAGTGTAAGAAAAATCTTAGCACTCTTGTCGGACGTTAGTAGCTACGGCTCGAGCCCAAAACTTGATCTGATCCTTCATTTCTTTACTTGAATCCTTTGGAACCCTAGGTGGTGTAGCTAGTCCGCTTGCGACACGTGGCTCGACCAGTTGGTCATAATCTCTATGCCTCTGAATCTCTTTGGATGTTTCTACGCTGCTTAACGTTTTACGCAGCGTTTTGGGACTTGAGCCACCTTGTTTGACCATAACAGTGTCTTCTAATCTCAAGCTTCTCGGTGGTCTCTGCCTTTGATTGTTTGAAACCTTCACCAAGATTCAGACTTAAGTATGTTTTTCAGATTCACAAAAACCATTTTCTTTTACATAAAGAATGAATCATTTATTACCTTTGGAACATTATGTGAGCTAGCGAGGGCTTCACGGATCAAAAATCCCATTCTTGAGTCGCTTTCTTGATCTTCAAACTCGTCTATCTCGTTATCTTCTTCTCTTCTGATGTTATTTGGCATCGTTTGAGTTCTTTGCAAACTAATCTTGCCACTACTATAACTACTACTACTACTTCCTATTTTGTTCCTTCTAGAACTTTCACTAATCCCTTTGTCTCGAACAATAGTTTCCTTCTTCTGCAAGAAATGCTCACCAGGCCTCGTCGGTTCTAGAACCCTAATTTTCTCAGAGAACTGCCTTGTCAGCTTATTGATCATCTTCTTCGCCTCACGGTCCATATCTCTTTTTTCTATCTGAGGCGGCAAAGAAGGTGTCCGGATCAAATCCCTTTTCTTGGAAGCTTCTTGAATCTTCCCCGGAGCCGAACGAGATCCAGATTTAGGAAGAACTACAGGTTCCTTCTTCTGCAAGGAAGACCCAACGTGTCTCGGTTCTTGAACCCTAATCTTTTCAGAGAACTGCCTCGTCAGCTTCGTCTGAGATCCGCCTTCTCTACTATCTATAGAAGATGCCCTGATCAAAGATCGTCCTGTGGAAGCTTCTAGAACATTCCCCGAATCTAAATCTCCCATTTTTTCAGCAGCAGTTGAAGTAGAAGAAGAAGGGTAAGGATCTGAATGACAATAACTTAAGCCTCTTGACCTTCTTGTAATTAAGTTCTCAAAGAACCAGTAATCTTCAAGAAGATCATCAATAAGTAAATCGCTTGAACTCACATGATCCATTTCGTTTTCAGACAAGAGGTTACAAAAGAAAGAAAAGAAGAAAGGTAAAAAGAAGAAGACAAGAGATTCTAAAAAGAGAGAAGTTGTGTTTTATAACAAAGATTGGGTCTTCGGATTTTCCTTCGTGGGTGTGTTTGTTCATATATATGTTGTTTAGTAAACATCCAATGTATTTGAAGCATCGATTCTGGAGATTTATTTGGAAGTGCCCACATGGGCAGCCTTTCTTCAATTATATCTTTTATAATTTTTTTTATTATATCTATGTGAAGTGAATATATTGGATTTTGCATAGAATCTTTTAAGGATTTTCCTGGTAAAAATAATGCTGAAATTGGAACTTATTACAAAATAAAATAGTTACAACTATAGAGCAAAAGAGTCAACTGTATAAATAGAGTAAAGGTATATTAATGAAACTTATGTGAAAGTAGAGGTATCTAAGTGGGTTAAAAAATACATAATTTTGGCAACAACTAAAAGAAAAATAAGGTTCAACAAAGCTATGATTGCTTAAGGGAAGGCATAATAATTAATCACTGTCAGGACAGTCCACAAGCCATGTGATTTCTCTGTTTATATACATTAGTATAATAGTCGTAAGTAAGTCTAATAATAAAAAAGATTTTAAAACATGTATTTTGGAGAACAATTACAAAATATTTTTATTAATTACAGTATCCTAATCAGTAGAGAGATTTGATTCCAGAAAAAAAAAATCAGTATAGAGAAAGAAAAAAAAAATCACGAGTTCTGGATCTCCGTCAAAAGCCGCAATGTTTATGTATTGCTTGACAAGTGGTTCACGTTCAATTTACTGATAAGAACGAAATATAGTATGATAGGGACCCTATCATACTATATACATAATATGATAAAAATGGAAAAACGGTCTATTTCCCCACGAAAAGTATCACATCATAACAGATAGAGCCCAATCTATGACCACGTGCTAGATGTCCTCGGAAAAATACTTCTCAACTTATATCCCCATAAATTCATAGTTCGAATCATATTTCTCCACAAATATGGGTTTAATCGGTTCACAAATTAAATCCGATAGAAAACCACATAAACCAATATAACCAAATTAAAAATCAGATCCAATGTAAACCCTACCCGATTTCTTCTTCTTCTTCACCCAACCCATGAAACTCATTAAGAACATGCCACATAGACCAAGAAACAAAAATTATGAATTTGGGTCATTTAAATTCAAGTAAAATCTGATACAATTTTCAATTGAATGCTAACAACTGCTCGTATACATTTTGCGGAACACTTTCTGAACAAGAAGCATGAAAATGGTGAATTGGATATGAGAAAACGTCAAAATCAAAGATAGCCTTGGCCACAAGCAAGCTCCAGTCTGATTCCAGCTCACTATCACATTCTTCTTCTCGTCAAATCTCACCACGAATTTCGATCCATGGCCACAAATCGCTCATTCGCCAGTAATTTCACCGAGAAGAACTGCGTTCTGCGTCACATAAACAACGCCAGATCAGAGATGGAGCTTAGCGGTGAAATCGTTGCCGGAAGTGAAAACGACATGGCAGATGGTAAAGACGATGTGTAGTGACGATTGCAGGCGTCAATGGTGGACTGATTCGCAGAGGAGTCGTACTGGATAGTGGATACCATTGCCCGTATTTGAGAATTTGATGAGTGAATGGATGGATTCCAAAAGTGAATTCAGACATGAAGTAACAGCGGAGAGATCGAGAAGGATGGTGGTGGTAGTTGTCACGGAGACCAATACGACGTGATTTGGGCAAATAACGGTGGTTTGATCTTTTTCAACAACTGCAACAAAGCTTCTCAAATTGTTGTGGTAGCAAAAACGTTTGGTTGAACTGCAAAGTGATTCATCTTCATCAAAAGAAAATTAAGGAAATTTTTGTTAACATGTTCACATGAAATTTGAATTTTTGATAACATGTTGAACAACGATGAAACAATGTAATCAAAATTTCGAGAATAGATCCATCAATTTTGTAGAGAAATGGTGAACACAGAAGCAAAAATTTCTGATTTAAATACATAAAAAAAAAAAAACTGGAAATAGGATTCGCCGATCTAAGAAAATCCATGGAAGAGGAGAGAGATAGGTTAGGTTTCATAAGTACAGCTTTTGAAGGAAGGTTAAGCTATGGCGAAGGGAGCGAGTGAAGCTAGAAGATGAACATAGAGAGATTACGGGAGAGAAAGAAGAAGAATTGGTATGTTACGGCTTACGGGTGAAGAAGGATGTTGGGTTGGGTGGGTAACGTGGGTTTGCTTGGGTCGGGTTCAATTAGTTGTAATCGGGTCAGAATTGGTTTAGATTAGGTTTAATCCGGTTTAGTATTTTCGTTAGTTTGGTAAGCAGTCAGTAAACCGAACAAAACCAATGTTTGTGTGTAAATAAGATGAAAACTTTTATTTTAGGGAAAAATAGGATTTGAACTATGAATTTATGGGGATATAAGTTGAGAAGTATTTTTTCGGGGACATCTAGCACGTGGTCATAGATTGGGCTCTATCTGTTATGATGTGATACTTCTTGTGGGGAAATAGACCGTTTTTCCGATAAAAATTCTCAAAGTCGCCATCTCCAAAAATGCAGAATAATCCTATGAAGTCCAAAATAATAAGCAATCTAGCCCTTTTTCGTTATTGTCAAGTTTTTAAAATTTTGATAGATAATATATCAAATCGAAGCCCTCGAGACGACGAGTTCAATTCTACTTTTAAAATTTCAAAAATCAATTGTATGTGATCGTGAAAACGTTTAAAATATATACATAAGGGCTATATTGCCTATTATTTTGAACTTCATAAGATTATTTTGTATTTTTTGGAGGTGGAGGGTAAAGTTGCAAAAATTGGCGACTTTGAGGGTTTTTTTGCACAAAACTCAGTATATATTCTAATACGAATTGAATATATAAATGTATTATGGATTGATTGTTGATTGTTTTATTTTTGTATGTAATCACGTGGATATTATTAAAACTGAAATTTATTAAAAAGTGACGACTTTAAGTACTCAAAATATTTGGTCAATGACAATTACTCAATGTTCACTTTTTCCGTAGTTATACGCCAAATCTTTCGCGTGTTGCTGCAAAGTCGAGCATTACTTTGATATCTCATCCTTCTTTCTTCAAAAATAGTGAAAATGAAGAATGTTTCATACTCATAATAATCCTACTTGTACCGTTGTACGTATTAATGACACGATAAATAGTCAAAAAATGTCATAATAGGATGCTGCTAATCTTAAGCCGCAAACAATGATATAATATAAACATTGTATTATGTCACATTGACATTGAGATATTTCCTAATATATTAATATCAGTTGGGCGTTTCTCCTCCCACTAGGTAAGGCTTTAGATATACATGATTTGCTCTCTGGAATTTTCAGCAATAAAAGTGTTTCTGCTTTTTCTAGTTATGTGAATTCTTTGATAACTTTTTATCAAGAAAAATATTCTTCGATCTCACTTATGTCCGAATATATTGTTTACTCATAGAGCGTTAACTCTTCGGTTTCAAATAACGGTAACTAGAGGTTCTTAAAACTTCTGACTGAGTAAAATGTGTGTTGTTTTCGGCATGATAACCGACACATAGTTTTTATTCAGGAAATAGAAATGGTAGTATATATTAAGGGTAGACAAAATATCCAAACGGATACCCGAAATAACTCTAACCTAACTAACCTATTAACTCTTTTTACATAGTTTGTGGTATTTCATTAAATTTTGAGTATTTTAAATAGTTTGAATAGTTCTATTACGGATATTTTCAGTTAATTCGAATACTTTTAAATAGTTTGAGTTTTTCTTTATAGGAGTTTTTGAGTAATTCACATAATATGGAATAGTTTTGGATACTTTTAAGTACGTAGTTTTAACCAAACCTGAAATATAATTATCAATCCAAAAAAATCAAATATTTTTTGATCAAAATACTCAAAATAGCTCAAATATCCGAAATTTTACTTATGTTTATCCAAATTTAACAAAAAAAAAATCAAATCTAACCAATATTTTAAATTTTTTTGATATTTTGAATACCCAAATCCGAACCTGATCTAAACATCCTATACTATTATTTGGGGAGTACACTTTATTAGATACCCTTAACTAACCTTCTCTTTTGTAAGAATTTACTTAATAATGCCATTACAAAAATCTTCTTTTAGAACAAATTTCATTCAATTTATTAAGGATAAACAAGTAAATTAGTAATTTATGTCATTTAATTAATTTAATTAAATTATAAAACGAAAATCTGTTATTAATTTTTTTTAAATGACCAATCAAAATGAACATATAAGATTTGATATCTAACTTACCATATTAATTTGTTATTAATCATTAAACTTCACCTCTCATCTTAATATGATTATATTAATATGAAACAAATAAATAATCATATCATCTACATAATAAAAAAAAGTAATTCTTTTTCTGCATATGCCAAGATTTGAATTTTTAAAAACGCATATAAATTGTTTAATCTATAAAGGAAACAATTAAACGGGTCAAAAATTGAGAGTTGAGTAATATATTTCTTTTACACAAAAATAAAGTCAACAAAAATTCCGACTGAGCAAAAAAAATAAAGTCAACAAAAATTTCGACTGAGCAACGGGTCAGAATTTGAATATTTATATTCGATTTCATACATTTATTTTTTTGAAATGTATAATTTTATATACTACAATAAAAATTTAAATATTTTAATTTGCAACATTTAAAATAAGTTTTACTTGATATTTTTAGAGAATATCATTAATACTTAATAGTTCAAAAAGTTAAAAATTATAAATGCTCTAATTTGATTATTTTTAAAAATATTTATAATAGGTAGCGGGTTAAATATAATATATTATACGATGAAATGAGTTTTGATCCTTATAACTATTTGAATAGTTATATTTAATTTCATATAATTTGTTTTTTGAAATTCATAATTTTATAAACTACAAAAAAAAATTAAAGATTTTAATTTGAAATATTTAAAAATAATGTAGAACATTTAAATATGGTTTGACACCTCTAAATATTTGAAAATTTGATTCCGCAAGCAATTTTAGAATTAACGAATAATAGATTATGCACACAATATTTTAAAATGAAATATTGAGATTCTAAAATAAAAATATAGACTCCACGCACGGGTTGATTTTGGTATTATTATATACTAAATATATGTTTATAACATATTCGATTATGCGAATAATTGGTAAATTCCGTAATTATAAATCTCAAACAAATTCTGTAATTAGATTAGCTTAAACAAATCTCTATTTCAACAACCAAAGAATTATAAATTGAAAAAGAATTTTCTAAATTAATTCAAAATAATAGCTAATTTTCTTAATTAATTCAAAATAATCTATGTTTTATATGCGATTCATTTATGATATTTTAATTTTTGATCTAACTGAACATATGCAATCCTATTTTGTGGTTGTTAACATAAATTAACTCATTGTTCAAAAAATATTACTTTTTAAAAAATAAAATTATTTTCCGTTTTCATATCTTTAAAAAAAAAATTATCCATAATTGAGTATTATAGAAAAAATTATATATTTATTCTAATATTGTATATAGGGACTGACAAAAAAATTAATATTTTTTCACTTACTATTATAATATATTAAAACTTAGTTTTAATATATATATTATATAAATTTTGTAATAAATAAAATTTAACCCGTACTTTAGTACGGGTGATGATCTAGTATAAAATA